AAAAAAGAAAAAACCTTATAAGCGACGCTCATCGGTGGCTGTGGGAAAACCTTCTCCTTTGACAACATGACCTAAATGTCCATCACATGTCGCACACGTTAGCTCCATTCGTCTCCCTCCTGCCTCCGGCTGTTAGATATAAATAAACATAAAAATTTGTTAGATTAAAAAACATTTTTTTACTAAAACAATATTGTGAGTGATAAAAGAATATGTCAAGTACCGTTTGTTTGATGGCACCAGGGATAGCATCAAAGAAGGAAGGCCAGCCACAACCAGAGTCGAACTTAGTGGTGGACTTGTAAAGAGGAGTTGCACAGCCAGCACAACTATAAGTCCCGTCGTCGAACAGTTTGGTATACTCTCCTTTACCTCTGGCTCTATACATATCAAAACCATTGCAAACAAAAATCAAGAAGACCGTCTAAGAGGAAATGATCATATATATGCATGGCATTTGACATAATTTTTTTTAGAAAATATATCTATTAAGCCGGACACCTTACTAACAACATGTTGTTTTTGAGAAAGATGCAATAACAAGATAAATTACGAAGTTACATATGTAAAGACAATTCTTACTCTGTGCCTTTTTCCCTGAGAACTCTAAACTGTTCAGGAGACAAAATCGCACGCCACTCTTGATCCTTCTTTTGAACAGATCCAGTTGATGGAGCCACCAATGTTGCGGACGTTGGCATGATTACGTTAGATAAGTGTCTATGAAAGTAACGGAGATATGGTAGTGTGTTTTGAGATCTTTTTAAGAAAACTAATGAAGATAAAATGTTGTGAGTAAATAGAACTTTAAAGGGGTGGAGTATAATTAACTACGCTGTTTAGGTAATAATGTAGGAGATATATTGATTTTGATTTGCTAAAGACTTGGTTTCATTGTGATTCATCATCTATGATAAATGGGAGTATATATAGGCATAGACGAGAAGAATAATACTTCTCAAAGAGCTTATGAGAATCGACCAAAGGAGACTATTCTAAACAAATACTAATAAAAAGTTTACGTATCAGTAACGCAATAGATTTTAAATGACAGCAAGGAGAGTGAGGCGAGGTAGTGCTTGTGGACTTGTTGACTCCTGTTGTTTTTTTATATACTATATAATAAATTTTCATTTTATCACGCTGCCAATACACTTTTTCTTTTTAAGTTTATTCTTTTTTTGTTGGTCACGTTTATTGGCTCATAAAACTCTGGTTCGTTGAAATGTCAAAAATCATAAATTAAAGTTAATTATTTATACGCAAATGAAAACTACGTTGTCCATGATTGGCTGCGCTGGTTGACCGAGCACGTCCTTTAGCCTCGGACTAGTTGAGCAAAGCATAACTAAAACTACATCCTATTAATTTTATTTTGGATGTTTACTAGTTGAGAAAAAGAAAATTATATTTTAATTTTTAATAAAAATCACCAGTTCACGTTAACGCTCCTAATTATCTTTGTCCATCCGAATCTATAGATCATTTCACGTCTAAATAGGATACTGGTAATTTGAAAGAGTTATAAACTCATGTATGAGGAACAATATATGTATTGGACTTGAAGTTAGATAATTGTTTCAGTAAGTGACAATATATAATAATATTTGGATGAGATCTGTAAATACGTACACATACATGAGTATGATGTGGGAAGTTTTGGTATTGCATAGGCAAGACATTTCCCATAATCTTTTCTAAAAATGATTACTAGCTACTCCAACAGTTGATCAGAGAAATTTACTTCAGAATTGAGATTTATACATAATATTTGTTGCAATAAATACTATATCCCATCACATGTGGTAGTTTTCTATACTTAGTCTTTCTCAACAATTTCACAATCTCATTTAGTTGACCTTTTTGACCTTTGCTCATCAACATTACACTCTTCCAACTAGTAATAAACTATTAAACAAAGATCTGATTAATCAAAAGGAAATTTTATTATAGACGACTTGCATTGAACATATCAATGGTCAATGAAAATATAACAAATAATACAATTATTAAGTGAAAGAATATCATACATTGGAAAAACTAACAACAATGAGAGCACATCACAAATGACTTGGAACAAAACATAACAATTCTCAAACGATCAGATTTTATCTTCAATTTTTCTTGAAGGAGATGAATTGGTCCAACAAAATATAGTGGTCATCAATGTGGATATGTCGTTTTATTGAGAAGAAATTTCAGAAAACTTGAGAGAAACACTGTTAACGCAGTGACGCTCATCTGTGGCTGTGGGAAAACCTTCTCCCTTGACAACATGACCTAAATGTCCATCACATGTCGCACACGTTAGCTCCATTCGTCTCCCTCCTGCCTCGGGCTGTTAGATTTAAATAAACATTATACAACTTGTTTAATCTTTATTACTAAAATAAGTATGTGTCATAAAAGAATAGAAAATAAGAATATGTCAAGTACCGTTTGTTTGATGGCACCAGGGATAGCATCGAAGAAGGAAGGCCAGCCACAACCAGAGTCGAACTTAGTGGTGGACTTGTAAAGAGGAGTTGCACAGCCAGCGCAGCTATAGGTTCCGTCGTCGAACAGTTTGGTATACTCTCCTTTACCTCTGGCTCTACATATATCAAAACCATTACAAAAATTAGGAAGACCGTCTAAGAGGAAGTGATCACATTTGACATAATTTACAAATTTTAATCTATCTTTATCATCGTGAGATTTTTTCCTCTTTTTATTAGTATCTTGGACTAGTACTACCGAAATTTTCTAATACATTATGGTGATTGTAGTTGTTTATGAGAAAGATGCGGAGAAAAACATAAATTAAGAAGTTAAATGTTCAAAGACGATTCTTACTCTGTGCCCTTTTCCCTGAGAACTCTAAACTGCTCAGGAGACAAAACCGCGCGCCATTCTTGATCTTTTTTGGGGAAAGATCCAGTTGATGGAGCCACCATTGTTGCGGGAGTTGGCATGATTACGATAGATAAGTGTCTATGTAGGCAAAAAGAGATGGTGGTGTGCTTTGAGGTTCTCTAAGAAAGAATTGATTTTGTGAGTAAAGAGAACTGCAAAGGGCCGGGTGGTGGGTGTCTAGGGTATACAACTAAGCTGTTTATGTGACAATGTTGGAGAGGTTTTGTTTGAAGTTTGTACTAAAAATTTGGTTTGATTGTGATTCAATATTGATGATGGATGGGGGTTTAAATAGGCATAGGACAAGAATATTTATCAAACAGCTCAGGAGATCGTCCAAAGGATACTATTCTAATTTCTAATAAAAATACTCCAATTATTTACGCATCATTTAAATGACAGCAAGGAGAGTACTGGGGGAGAGTTTGTCCTTTGTAGACTAGTTGACTCGGTTGTAATAAGGTATACTATATAATTTCATTTGATCACGATGCGAATACACTTTTTTAATATTTTTTGTAAGAGTTTGTATTGTTGAAATGTAAAAGTCCAAATTAAAACTTTTCAAAATATAGAACTCTTTTGTTGTACAAAATCAAGTTAAGAGCAAATGAAAAAAACATATATTGTAACTAATAATTAACTATTGCATCTAGAAATTAAAGTTCATTAATCTGCTAATTACATAATATTTTTTTGATGTTTTAAAAATATTGCATCTCATTACAACATGCATATGTCAAACGATCACTTTTTAATCAATTATCTGGGTAAAACCATCCTAAATTCATTATAAATAAGAAAATAACCAATTATCTTGTGCCATGTAATCTCTCCTCTCCTCTTTTGTTTTGGCAACAGAAAATAATGACATAAAGTGGTGCAGGGAAGCTTCTAGACAATTGGTTTTTGTTTTAGTTTCTTTTATTTTAATTTGGATATTCTTGTTTTAAAGTGTCTTTTACTTTTGTTTTCGGATAAGTCTTTAAGATACGAGATATGTCTCAATTCCTTATTAGAGACCTAGGTTTTTGGTGTTCTTATATATAGTTGTCGATCCCTTGACTTGTGAGGCACGACTTATTGAATTTTAATCAAAGAGCTTTCTAAACTCTAATTTCCTTATTACGGCTAGAATGAGAACGTTCTCAACGGAGTAAGAAGACATAGATTCTTGGTCATTCTTAGACTAAACAAGTTTCTTTGTGTTACCATAATATTGATCCTCATTATAAAGAATGTACAAATTTTAGAAATTGCATAAACTATAATAGAGTAATCGTTTCTGATAGCGAACTAATGTTTAGCACAGATGATACTTCTTGGCGAATGTAGCTTATGTTGTTGCAGATCAGTTTGTCAAATTGGCGAGAGAGATGAGTGGGAACACAATGATAAACTGCTGCTTGGAAAGCTAATATGATGAGGAGGATACTTGATACTTCACTCTCTCGCAATATTTTTAGCAATTCATTATTCTTCATTTTAGAAAGAAGATTATCTTTCAACGTAAGAAAATCCCTTACAACTAAAAATCTGGTATATACCCACAAACGCATTTATTAAATCATTAGGCTTAGTAATTAAATTATAAAACAAAGATATGATACAAAATCCAAACTTTTATTATATAAGACTAACGTACATTTAACATATCAAGGTGATCAATGGAAATATAACATATAATATTAAATAAGTAAAAAGAAAAAAAAATCACACAAGTGACAAACAACAATGGGAGCATATCACACATGACTCGGAACGAAACACAACAGAACAATCTCAAACAATCACACTTGATCTTCAAATTTTCTTGAAGGAGATGAAGAATTGGTCGAACAAGAGTGGTCATCAAATATAGATATGTCGTTTTATTGGGAAGAAATTTCGGAAAACTTGAGAGAAACACTGTTGACGCAATGACGCTCATCGGTGGCTGTGGGAAAACCTTCTCCTTTGACAACATGACCTAAATGTCCATCGCATGTGGCACACGTTAGCTCCATTCGTCTCCCTCCTGCCTCCGGCTGTTAGATTTAAATAAACATTATACAACTTGTTTAGTGGACATACTAAAATAATTGAGTGTAATAAAAGAATAGAAAAAAGAAAAGAAAATGTCAGTTACCGTTTGTTTAATGGCACCAGGGATTGCATCGAAGAAGGAAGGCCAGCCACAACCAGAGTCGAACTTAGTGGTGGACTTGTAAAGAGGAGTTGCACAGCCAGCACAACTATAGGTTCCGTCGTCAAACAGTTTGGTATACTCTCCTTTACCTCTGGCTCTATATTTATCAAAACCATTGCAAACAAATCAGTAAGACCGTCTAAAGGATCACATCTTCGTGACAATAGACATAATTTACACATTTTATCCATTTTCTAGAATTACTTAGCCGGACACATATAATAGCATGTTATGGTGAGGTTTATATCTCTTTTGAGAAGTGTAGTGGCTAATTAATCTTGGACTAGTAC